AGTATTTAATACTGTCTGATGAGTGCGTAGCACGAAACTCGGAGTAACAGCAAAATCTTGCCTCTTTGATATTATATATATAACCAGCTCTACACTTTATGTGTATTGAGCACTCTTTAATGGGATCAGCTACTTCCTCATACAATTGAAAAAATAAATAAAAAAAAAAAATAAATAAAAATATAAAAAGTTGATATTTAGTTAATGTGAGCAATCGATTCTTTTCCTTTTTTTGTACTAAGGATTGTATTTAACTTGGACATTTTCCAAACAGATACATGTTTGATAAATTCTTTTTTTACAATAACAAAAAAAAAAAAAAGAATCCTATGATATAAATCTAGCACTAAACAATTCACCCTTCATTATGATCACTTCGTCGCTATTTCGGATGGATTCTTTAAGTTTTACCTGCAGTTATGTGCTTTTATCAAAAACTTCTGCACATATGCACAAAATGATACATTATCAAAAAATGAACATGAAAAACTAACAAACAGAACAGTATGAAAACATACATTATTATCGGATTATCTATTCTTTTAACAGGTACTTTAACTTCCAAACGTTGGACACGCTTGCTCTCTAATTCTACAAATATTTTTACTAACCTTTATCTGCAGAAACTCGGAACTGATTTTCGGCACGAGATATTTTTCAAAACCTGTTCCTGTCCAGTTAAGCAGCTCACAACGAAGACTCTTATGGTCCACAGTGATGACATTTACTGATACACATTCCTTGTTTTGCACACACTTGAAACAACATTCCTTTTTGCTTTTGGTAGTTTCAGTTAATAAAAGACTTTCTGGTTTCGAGAGAAACTTTCCATCTGCACTTTCAAGAAAGTCTCGAATGACTACTTTATCATTGTTGTCAAGGTTTAGCATAGATCGTGTGGTTTTAAAAGCGAAAATATATACAGAAAAGAAGAGAAAAGTCTTCAGTAACATATTGGTCACAGATTATACAAAGTCTCCGTTGGCTTAGGTATTGTCATAATGGACGTGAACAACTACAGCATAGCAAGCTGAAGATGTTATGAAAAACCCGATTAACATGACATAAACGACAAATAGTACTGTACTAACACTCTATCTAACTTCACCTGCGACAACTGGCAACACTTTACGATTTTGATGTCTCCAAGTTTTAATTAAAGTAGAGGCTAGCCTCTCTCCCCAGGCGGACAAATTTATATAAATACTTCTTTGGGTTTCCTTTTTAATGGTCATATTGTCAGCTAGGGACTAGTAGTGAATTGAGAAAAGTAGTAGGTGCCTATGGATGCSTTTGGACCAAGTATCTTGAATATTAAAGCTCTTACTGACCGGCYCCACTCCTCACCTTTACTGGTCTAAATTAAATTTGTGCTATCTAGTGTACCAAATGTATTGGTTATGATCTAACTTGCTATTATTTTATAAAGCTGAATTAAGGATTATATTYCCCAAACCCATTTATCTCTATGACAAGCGTGATCTAATATTGCCAGACACAAGAATTCGACCATAAAGCACTGAAAACAATGAGTTTTCCGGTCAAAAATTGGCACTGGTTTCCAGTGAACTCTTTTTTACACATGCAGCGATAATCACGTGGATCGTTATATAACAGCACGCACTGTCGATCATTTTGACAAGTCCCCTTCAGGCAAGGATTCTAAGATATCCTTAAACTGTTTTAAAACCGGAATCGCATAAGCGTAAAAATATACRTTGGTATTTAATGATGTGAGCAATTATTCTTTCCCTTTTTTGTATTAASGATTGTATCTATAAGGCGCCGTTTCCTAAACCCGAGGAGGYCAGGYAGGAGGCACCTTAGAGTTCGTCGAGTATACACGAATTGATACCTAGAAAAAACTATTGATTCAGTTTTATCAAAGGGGGCAACTGCATTTCGGTAGAAGTTGCCACGAGTTTAGTCAAGAAGGGGAGTTGGAGTTTCAAGTTAAGCTTTATTTTCATGCAATCATATTTAATTTTATGCATTTTAAAACTTGTACACAAATATATACAACCATATATGGAAGTCGTAATATAGATCCTCCTCGGTGCTGAAGCCAGAACGCCATATTGTGGTATATCATTCAAGTGCTGTTTAATGAATAATCATTAAAAAAGATGCAAAACTATAATAGATAGTAGATATAATAGATTTTGTGTTATCCTCGTGAAGAGACGTTTAGTTTATTAGCTCATCTCAGTATCCCTGAATAAAACTTTACAAGCTAATTCTTTAGCATTATTCTCTTGTATCAAAAGACCGCAAACATCGCAACTGTAAACAGGCTACTCTAGCGACGTTCATCGCGCAAATGTATCAACTATGTGCTTGAAAAMAAAATGGGTTTATTGGCCGTAAACGTCTGTATCAATCTGTGTGCTCTTCGTGGTAGTAAAATGTCTCGACATCATTCGGGGTAAAGGTATGTGAGCCAGAGAAATATGTACAACCTGCACCAATGGTACAACCAGGCGGGACCTGGTAACTATTTACTACCGTATGTGAATTTGCATTATTTATGGCAAGATTAGCTACATGCAGGTCATGCAATCCCAATCCAAATGTTGGTCCATATCCTGCATTGCCATATATAGCATAAATCTGGTGGTTTGGTCTTGTTAGGTTCAACTGGATGGGTTGATATCCTTTGGTGTTGTACAGCGAGAATAGGAAGGATATTGATGACTTGGTATAGGCTGCAACTATTTGATTAAAAGCAATCAAGCAATCAGCCAAACAAAAAATCAAGCAACCAACGGACCAACTAACACATGGCTGCAACTATTTGATTAAAAAGAAATCATTAACCGACGAACTACCATAGAACAATCCTTATCTCACTTACCACTGTGCCAAGATTTATCGGTGAATCCACCAAACACGTACTGACCAACACGAACTATCGTCACCGTGGCTTTCTTTCCGTTACATTGAGGATGGAATGTGAATCGAGTATCCCATCCATCTTCAGCGGCGTGCCAACATCTSAYCCAATGGCTTGAAGTTGAATGTAGYAACGTATTGTCTAAGAAGCCTGTCAGGATCTTAACATAKGAATCATTGCCATGATGTGCAAGAATCGCAGACTTCTCTAACCCTCCTGAAGAAAAGAAACTAAAGGATATGATATACGAATACCTAGAAAAGCTTTACTCGATAACTCATTATCCTTCAATGAMATATTAATGGAAAATAAACTGTAAAAAATCATAAAAAATATCCATATAAAGTCCTATCAAGACCTATAATGTCATCAATTATGTTCTACTTTGAATACAATTAATTTTCAAATTCTCACTTACGAGTTTCGTTSTCGTAATAAAACACCTCCACGTCGTCAGGAGTAAATTTATGTTTTCCAGCAAAATAAGTACAAGCTGTCCCAATGTTGCAACCAGGAGGGGGATGGTAGCTATTCACTTTGGTATATGAGTTTGTATTAGTTGTGGCAAGACTGGCAATATGCAGGTCATGTCCGGCACCAAATGTTGGTCCATATGCTGCATTGCCATATATAGCATACTGCTGGTGGTTTGGTCTTGTTAGGTTCAACTGGATGGGTTGATATCCTTTGGAGTTGTACAGTGAGAATAGGAAAGATGTTGATGACTTGGTGTACAATCCAGCACCTCAAAACAGATGAAGAGAATAATCAAGTCTTCCCCGCAGTCTTTATSAGTGTGTACGAGMTGAYACGAGGTGCGGGGGAGACTACATTTGGAGAAGCGTGTCATAATACACTAGAGATTCATCATTGTCAAGGCAGCCGAATGTTTACTGCATCTCGGCACCCGACCTTGTATCAGTTTAATTACAATTACATCACTGTGAATGCCTTACTCCCATCCCTAAAATATATCTGGATCTACTATTGACTAGCAAAACCATCTTTTTGTCTAACTCACTATGCCAGGATTTATCKGTGAATCCACCAAACACGTTCTGACCAACACGGACTATCGTCACCGTGGCTTTCTTTCCGTTACACTGAGGATGGAATGTGAATCGAGTATCCCATCCATCTTCAGCAGCGTGCCAGCATCTCACCCATTGGCTCGGATTGGATTGATGCAACGTGGTATCTATAAAGAGTTCCAGAGTCTTCACGTAGCTGTCKTTACCGTAGTCAGTGAGGATGGTGGAATTCTGAAGTCCTCCTGTGTGAGTCAAAGACTGATCTTCAGCACTATAGGTGTAAATTTTGCACTAACCCATAATATATATCAATAGCTATAATTACAAAAGAGCAACTAATGATATCACCGCTGTGTAKGCGCGAAGTTCCACTGATATTCATGATTGCTATTTTTTTCTCTTTAAGTCCTGCTTTATCAAAATGTTTATTCTTCAATAACTCTAACTTACTTGTCTKGCCAGTGTAATAGAACATTTCCACATCGTTTGGTCTAAAACCATGTCGACCAGCAAAGTAAGTACAAGCTACCCCAATGTTGCAACCAGGCGGGCCGTGGTAGCTGTTTACTACTATATATGAATTCGTATTGCTTATTGCAAGATTAGCAATATGCAGGTCATGTGGCCCCACCCCAAATGTTGGTCCATATGCTRCATTGCCATATATAGCATAMWKCTGGTGGTTTGGTCTTGTTAGGTTCAACTGGATGGGTTGATATCCATTGGTGTTGTACAGTGAGAATAGGAAGGATCTTGATGACTTGGTATAGGCGGCGGCTATTGGCAAATAAAAAAACAAGCAGGAATCATTTGATAAATCAGTATTTTGTTCTAATGGTTTCAGCCTTGTGCCGAAATGTAAAGAATGCTGTTACGTCATAAATTACTTATTTTTCATTTTTACCACTATGCCAGGATTTATCAGTGAATCCACCAAACACGTACTGACCAACACGAACTATCGTCAACGTGGCTTTCTTTCCGTCACACTGAGGATGGAACGTGAATCGAGTGTCCCATCCATCTTCAGCGGCGTGCCAACATCTGATCCAGTCCCTTGGACTTGTCTTGTGGAACGTGGTGGCTATGAAACCTGTCAGTGTCTTTAAGTAGCTTTGGTTGCCGTAATTAGACAGTATAGTGGAGTTTTCTAGGACTTTTTTAAAAAGGAAATCCTCATTTTAGCAAGTATTGAATTTCATACTTTTCAGTTCCTAAACTTACCAATCGCCTCGTCTTGCTTGTTATGATCCACTGATTGACCTGGATTAACAACAACAACAATAGAGTAAGCAAGACTAATTCATAGATTTCTTTAAATTGATTGCTTTTTTTGGGCGATTGAAACGAAGATTCTCCGTACGTTACATGACGTCATTACGCCCTGGAGGGCACTCAATTATCGGTTATAATGCTTGAATAGTAACCATTAAACTAAATGTTCTTGAGCTCATTGCATCAATACTATAGCGTTGTTCTATTGAACTCTCGTTTGTCAAATTCTTTAGATCCATAGGTATTCCAACACTGATGATGATATCAATATTATAATATCGACGATATGACAAAAAACTTATACTGGTGAACGAGTGTTATGGAAGTGCAACAAAACYTTTTTGGAAACTTCTCAGGTTCACCTACTTTTTAACGGGTGTTAAATTTGTCTTTTACAAAACYGCTTTATTTCTAACTGTCACTTGGCCTMTTTTTGAAAAGAGATATGTAAAATGGTAGCAAAAYGCTTTCATTTATAATTTTAAATATTTGTGAACATTTAATTAAAAGTCGAGCATAGTTTTAAGATGTCAATTAGTAGAATAATTCCCAATGCAAAGGCATCATATTTTAAAGTGTAACCGACTTACCGGTAAAGAATTGGCACCGCTTCCCAGTGAACTCTTTTTTGCATATGCAGCGATATTCCTGTATGTCATTATACAACATGCACTGWCCGTCATTATGGCAAGGCTTCTYCTGGCAAGGATTCTAAGAAAATATTGTGATTATTGAACTGTTTTTCCTGGTACCAATTTAGCGTGAAAATGAAGTAGTTGATTGCTCATCAGTAAAATCATGTTTTGAATTAATGTGTATAATCATGTATGTATTTATGAGGTTTTCTCTCTCATGCACTGGACAAAATCGCTCGCTTTTAAGGTGGTAAATTTGATGTAAATATGATGTAAGTGTCCAAAATTCTGTAAATTTAATATAAATCATTTACATCAAATTTACAGAATTTTAGACACTTACATCATATTTACATCAAATTTACAACCTTTAAAGCGCGCGATTTTTTCCAGTGATGAATATTAAACTGCGCCGTATGCCAACCTTCGAAAGTGACAACAATCATGTTACTAATTTTTTTTTGGAAGGATGTAAGAGGCTAAATCATTCCCATCATCGGAGGCACGAGTGCTTACTGCGTGCTTACTGTGTAAAACCCAAGAAGACAATTTCCAAGATCAAATATATGTTCTCTTTTTTTCGGATCAAATGATTTATTTAGAAGCTGTGAACTGCAGCACTCTTATACTTGGAGAATGTTCTGGCTCTTAGCCCTTCTTTATTTTTAAGTGGAAAGCTTTGAGTTACGTGTTTTAGTATTAAAAACGMTTTTTATACATAAAAGAATTATCGCGAAAAGCAAACAAGGAAAAAGGAAAAGAAAATTAAAAGATCTATGTTTAGTTCTATGTGAAGATATATCAAATTAAAATATACAGAGCAACGATCTATGCTCATTTTTTGAGGACTGACTAAATTTCATATTAAACACCTAAACCTCAGAGTTCAGAGKGGAGCCCCCAATATTTTGGCCGCCATTTTTAAAACATTTGTCTAATTCATCTGGCGCTTCTCAAAAAATGTCCCGTCCCGAATAAAGCTAGGGAGTAAATCGGCTGACAATATTGCTCGGTGACAGATACAGATTATTCATTTCAAAAATCAATTTCACATCTTTTGAAGTTCGGCTCATTCTATGGGTAATGTAAATAAATCATTATCAAACTCTTCGCCAAGAAATTAACTGATGATGACATCATGAAGAAAACAGCATAACAGATTCTTAGACGATGGATGACGCTACCGATGCATGCAACTTGAAGATTGTTTTTATTGATGTCGAACGACATGAATATAGTTCTATAGTTCTTAGGCAATCATAGGAATTTGGTTAGTAAAGAATCTTATTTAGGAAATTGATATGCCTAACTCGAAATCTTTGCAGTTGATTTGGTATTCATTGAATTGTCACATCTTGTCATCAAAGAATCAATAGCTCGCACAAACTATATGAACACATATTTAATTAAAAAGCAACTGCTTTGCACAAAACGTCTTCTTTGAATTTACTGATTTTGTGATATATAAAATTGGATTATTTTCAAAATTGAGAAGACAATTATGTCCCGTGAATAGAGGATGGAGGAACGAAAAGTCACTGGGGTTAGGGAAGAATTACAATAGTATAGCTAGAGGGATTTTGAGAGCCACAAATTAACATCAGTGTCTGAGAAATGTCCCAGAAACACCTAAAGGATGAAGGAGAAATGGTGAGAAAACTGTTCTCTTCCCTCTGCATACATCAAAACAGATTGTACAAAGATCTATACTGCAGAGAGGACCTAGGGACTTGAACTGTTTGATAGATGAGTTTCATATAAAAACTGTTAACTCTTCTGCTTTCTAACCGGCGTTTCACTTACCTTAGCGCTATAGTGGTTGTGATCCTTATCTTCAGTCATATTTGTATCAGTTGTAAACATATTACCAGATAAAAGCTCGCATACAAGCAAACCATTTTCAAGAGGTGTGGTCGCAATGTTAACGGATGTACATGACCACATAGCACTGCTGCAAGCGAACACACAGTCAGTTGCATCAGCAACTTGGACGGACGTACTACTTATCCCTGGACCAACAATTAAGCGTTGTTCAGCATAAAACTCATACGTGGTTTCCCGTCTTCGATCCATTGAGTTAGTGCCGCAATGTACTTTCGACAAGAAAACAAGAGAGATCACCACTAAGAAACGATTCATCCTCTCCAGAAAGATGTCGGGTGGACGCATAAGTGAATGTTTGTAGTGTTGTCTTTGAAGATACCTTTCGAGGTCAGGATAGGATCGTACCTTTCACGGAAAKGYCATTTAATTGCACGAAGARACGATTGGCTTAGTTCCATARCCATTAGTATGCTGAAGCAAATTGAGTGCAGCACTTTCAATTGGCAAATCTTCAGAATTTCATTAAATATGTGCTCAACTATCACGAATTAAATTTGTATTGATATTTAAGTTGACTGATATTGATATGAATAAATTGAAATTTCAGTTGCAATGAGTTATAAAAGGTCTAATTTTAGTTGAAGACGATTCTCAGTTGGTAAAATCACTGAAGGGTCGCAGTATAACAAGGTTAATCATGCAGGTATATCCAGTAGGCATTCTGCCATCAGGGTATACACGAGCGGCAACCTTTGCTTCGAGATTTTAAGGATTAAAAGTTTTATCAAAGCAGATAAATAAATAATAGTCAAACAAATGGATGTAAAGCTTCTTAATAATGGAAGGTGCGAGTTGTTCCACAATTACGTCTAAATGAATATTCATGCTCTAGGGAAAGCAAGTTCTGGAAGGTTTTAGAAATTTGCTCCAAATTGAGCTCATGAAAGTTGTTTTGTGAGGCAATTAAGACTGCAAATGTTACGTTTGCTTATGCAGTTTATGAGAGAATACATCCAGTCTGTTATCCTTAGAGTATAAGGAAAGCCGAGAGGACAATGTTAGCATGGACTTTCATKAAGGCACTATATGGGCGGGAGGTGATACCACAAAGACGCATAGGCAATATACAGTCCAGTTATAATTTTAATTTGTGGTGTGCAGGTGTCAGTGGAAATCATTGCGTAAATGATAAATGTGTTTTTTTGCACTGTATTTGAAGCTCCTTCGAGTAGCATATAGTTATAGCTTATTTCACTATGATGTCACAGTTGTTTACAACGGTAAACGATGCTCAAAACAGTGAAAATTTGGACCAATTGTGTCTCCTCAAGTAGAACTTCAATGAATCGTGTTTTGATATCATGTCTAAATGATTGCTCATAGTCTATATCGCAACCCGCGGAAAGTCTTGTGACGCAATGCATTTTGGGATTGATAAATGAATAAACAAGCGGGAGCATCGATGCCAGTGCTCCAGTTGTCTCTAACGCAGACTCAGTTTTCGAATAATATTGGGAAATATTCACATTGTAGTTAATCTCAGAAGCGAAAAAACAAACAAATATCAACATGCAAGGAAATACAGCAAGAAAAACCTCCAAAAAATGTACAGATAATCGAGAATTTCCATTTACTAGGCAAATCAAGCAAAATGAAAACAAACATATGTTGTCTGTGGAAAAATCGAAACTTATTAGTGTTTTTACGATTTTAGCGATTTGCTTTAATGAAGAAAGGGAGATATATATATCCCATGATACATTGCAAACCGATTCAAAATGGCGGGCTTGTGATATGGACTATTTACATTAAATTATATATTGTAATTTGAGATTGTAATTCCAAAACAACAAGCTCGTGTTGTAAACTATACATGTTCAAAATGTGCGATTTTCGTTATAATCGTAATAGCGTAATAGCGTAATAGCGTAATAGAATCTGCTGTCAAGTAAAACAGCGGTTATTCGCTTTGAATTCGAAACTGAATATTAAAAAACCTACACATTGTTCTCAAATTCTAGCTTACAGATTCAAATGCTATGATAAAACACTTCCACATCGTCTGGCTTAAACATTTCGCTTCCTGCAATGTAGGTACACTCAGATCCAGCACTACAACCAGGCGGGGGCTGATAGTCAGAGACTTTATAAAACGACTTTGTATTGCTTGAGGCAAGTTGAACGATCTGCAAGTCRCGTCCAAATGCTGGTCCAACATTTAACTGACCATAAATAGCATAATTGTAGCTGCCTGGGCCTGTTAGGTTCAACTGGATGGGTTGATATCCTTGTGTGTTGTACAGTGAAAATAGGAATGATTTTGATGACTTGGTATAGGTTGCAACTATTTGATTAAAAATCAATCAGTCAGTCAATCGATCGATCAATCGGTAGATGAATTTACTAATCGCTCATAAAGACATTAATCATCTCTAATTACTCGGGGTTCCTGTGGAACCGCGAGTTTAGGTTTCGGCGTTATTATAATTATTTTTTTTAGCCAGGCGTTCCTAGCCTGGGCGTTCTCGTCGCACGTCATGGGAATCCTACTGGCCATGTGCCAATGTGCTTATTGCATTCTTCGTCGATTGACTTATGGTATTGCTTCTTCTTCAAAAAATACGCTCAAATCACTTACAAATCCACAAACAATTCGCGGTATAGACACACTAAAAGATGTCGAGCGTTTTCGGAATGACCTTTTTGAAACCGCGAATTTATCAGGCTTATTGTGTTATGATACTGACAAGCCATTAATCTATCCAAAGCCATGTACTACCTTCTGTCTTAAAAGCTACTGATAGTTTTTATTATTCTTTGCAAGAGTTAAATAATTGTGGCAAATTTATCAAGTCAAAATGATATAATTATTATGCCATCAACTGGACTGAGAATTATTATATTTCTGGTCACGGCAAAAATAAATGAAACTACAGAAGGAGCCGACGGGGGTCTGTTTTTCTAAATTAACTTTTCTTGTACGATTTTTATTTTCCTGGGAAATAAATTTTTAGCTACATTGTTGACAATCTCACAATAAAATTTGGCGCCACCAAAAAAATATAATTGTAGTTATAATTAAAATGAAAGACGTTGTCAAGAGACCACACAAAAGAACCCCGAGTGCACGCTGATAAGCGTCTTGTTGTTTTTCATTTGATCATTTCATTTCTACAATAATTCGTTATCATGAAATGCAACCATGTATTCAAGCAAGAAAATCGGTGTTTATAAGGTGTGACGATTCTATCCTCACATGCTCTTCCTAATCTTCTCGATAGCGATTAAATTCGAAGTCACTATGTCAAGTCTATCTGTACTAAAAAAGTGAGCTACCTGAGTTTTTTGTGGGATCCATTATTTTCAAAGCTAGGAGGGGACTAGGGCAAATTCATAATGGCCGACATGTTGAAAAGTAGCCATTTGAAAGCACTAAAAGGTGGAAAAATCGTGGAAAAACTTTCTTACGTATACTTCCTTATAAGGTAAGATTACCATATATGATCAGCAAAAGTTTGTCTAACGAATGAATTTTTCTCCGGAACCAATTGTTAGATATGTCCCTTTCTTATCATGGAAAATTGAGAACATTGAATAAATAAAATAAAAAGGGGGTAGTAAGGGTTTCGTTTAATATCAATCATTGCTTTCTTACCAGTATGCCAGGGTTTATCGGTGAATCCACCAAACACGTACTGACCRACACGRACTATCGTCACACTGGGTTTCTTTCCATCACACATAGGATGWAAAGATACATAAACATCCCATCCATCTTCAGCGGCGTGCCAACATCTCACCCACTGGTCTGAAGTCGACTGCTGTAATGCAGCGTCTAAGAAGCCTGTCAGAGTCTTGATATATGCATCATTTCCATGATGAGAAAGGATCGCAGAATTCTTCAGTACTGAGGGAAAGAAGGGAAAAAATAACACCTTTTTTAATTTAAGCGAGAAATAACTAGAACTATTTGATCTGGGAATACATACATAAGACTGATCGCAGTAAATATACTCTTTTTTAATAAATCGTTTCTCATGTGATCTATGTATTTAAGCTAAAATGCACTATGTCAATTTAAAAAATCTTACAAAAAATAATCAGGAGTTAGATGGCTATATAATGCTACCAAGCAATTTCAGTAACGACGAAACTACAACAAGTTATGCTATAATTTTGGATATTGACACGACGTAAAATAAAGATCTTGCGRGAGACAACATTTACTTAGCGATATTAAAGTCATTTTACATGCTYCTGATTATKGGGGAAGTTAAGAGGGGGTGATTCTATTTATTTTCTGGAAACAGCATTGAACAAACATCGCAAAGAGGCCACAATCCCAAAGACCTCAAATCTCTCCTGAGGGTCACAATACACAACGCATGCGCAGTGATTAGAAAAGTTAATGCAGTGATAACTATATTATAAAAGTCCATAAACATTATAAAATAGAATAAATTAAAATTCTTACTTACGAGTTTCATTGAYGTAATAAAACACTTCCACATCGTCCACACTGAAGGTACGTTTACCCGCAATGTAGTCACAACTAATGCTTGGATTACAACCAGGCGGTGACTCGTAGTCCTTAACTTGATAATATGACGTTTCAATGCTGTCGGCTTTATTAGAAATAAACAGGTCATGATATCCAAATGCTGGTCCATTACCTTTATTGCCATAAATAGCGTTTTTCTCGWTATCTGGGCCTCTTATTTTCAATTGCATGGGATTATATCCTTTGATATTGTACAGAGAATATAGGAAGGAACTTGATGACTTGGATAGCCCGTGAGCTGAAAGAAGGGAATAATTTGAATGATCAACTTCTCGAGGAACGTGAGACACGTAACACACATAAAAAGCCTGCATTACAGCCTGGTAATAATGCACGCAACCCAACCAAGCATTTCAKTAAAACACATCACTTTGATTGCTTTGCTTATCACTGGTAGGAACTCCTGCATCGACTCCCAAAGAAACGTCAAATGTGCTGCAATAATTGTGGCTACTTTCCTAGTAATGTTCAACATGCCATGTGTTCGCGAGTTAGAACTTGTCAGAGCGGAAGCATTATTTCACGGGGGGGGACTCTCTTATAAAAGTTGGTAGTTATGCTCAACGGACGAATTGAAAAATGACCCTAAAAGGTACGCATAAATTAATTCAGGTATCGATTCCAGACCCTAAAAGTTATGACCATTTTTGACGTCATTAACAAGAGTCGAAAAGCTCAAGTTTAACAAACTGCAGAAAATCAATGTCGTTAGATTGTTGAATGTTGTTGATGCTAATTAAAATCTATTTCTATTTGTTTCCCTGTTCTTCGAAAATTGATCCTAAAAGGTACGCGAGGGTTTTATTCGACCCTAAAAGGTCCGTCGATCATACCTACCAACTTTTATAAGGGAGTCCCCCCCCGGGCATTATTTTCAATAAGTCGTATAGTAATTGTTAAATACACCGCATAAGTGAAGTCTAAATTCATTATCATAAAGTAAAGAGCCTGTACGGCAACAACTTGTTCGTTTGATCTGAATTACACTGATTGTTTTGTGATACTTGATGTCTCTCACACATATGAATAATCTTTCTTTGGTTATAAATAACACAGATAAATTTTTACTACTTACTATGCCAGGGTTTATCGGTGAATCCACCAAACACGTACTGACCAACACGAACTATCGTCACCGTGTTTTTCTTTCCGTCACACTGAGGATGGAATGTTATTTCTACTTCCCATCCATCTTCAGCGGCGTGCCAACATCTCACCCATTGGTTTGGATTGGGATGATGTAATGCAGTATYTATAAAGAGTTCTAATGTCTTCACGTAGCTATCGTTGCCATAATCTTTGAGGATTGTGGAATTCCGAAGTCCTGTATAAATCAAATATTGACAGATTTTCTCCAATTACRCGTATCAAGATATTTTCTAAAAAGCGATTTTTGGATATTTTTTGAACGTTTTTCAAACTGGATACGGCTTCAAGCGTTATAAAAACGATGATTGTTTCATGAATGATGTGTGTATAAATACGAATGGTTACAAAATAGCGTTACCCTCAGTAACCGACCCGAACGGACAATGAGTCATAGCTGAACCAGYAATGCTGATTTGTGGATGAACTAATCAGCTCCCAAAACACAAATAGTTTGACTGATTCATGCACTCTGTTTACGTCATGATTCAGTTCTTTCTAATMTTTCAATGAGGTTATAACTTACCGGTTGTCTGGACAGCGTAGTAGAAGACTTGTATATCGTCCGGCGTAAACTTATTTTCGGATCCTCCAGCAAAATAAAGACAAGTRTGATCAGGTGTACAACCTGGTGGGGGAGTATAGCTATTTGAAACTGTGTATGAATCTTTGTTATTTATGGCATCATTAGCAAGCATGATGTCATGCATTCCTTTCCCAAATGTCGGTCCGTTAGTTTTAGTTGAAAAAATAGCATACTTTTGGTRKTTTGGTCTTGTTAGGTTCAGCTGGATGGGATTATTTCCTTTGGTGCTGTTCAGGGAAAATATAAAGGACCTTGAGGACTTGGTATAGAGGTGCGCTATTGACARATAAAGATAGCGATATTACTGAAAGCTTCTCGAACCATGATTCACACCTGTTRTGGCGTCCAAGGCCAGATGGAGAAACTGTTTGGTGGACACAGATCATCAACAACAAATTGAAACATGTTAAAAGAGTGCTAGCGAACCATATTTTTTACATTTTGGACAGAAAATATAATCTATCCTTAGATCCTTGTTCCTCTTTCTTTGAGAATCTGGCTCAGCCCCTTTTTTATTATCATAATGTTTCTTCCGAGCGCTAGCGCTACCACAAATAACACAGGGTGACCAAACTGCTATAATATCCAACGGTTTGKCAAACATTTATGGTCTACAAACATTTTAATGTATTATTTGCATATGATATAGCTCAATGCCCAACATCATGTCTAAAATCTATCATTGCAAGGTTTTCACAAATGCGTACTAAATTTAGTACTAAAATGCTTAAGACAAAATTGTATAGAATAGGTAATATTAGATATCATTCTTTAGGAGGAGCCGACGGGTTCCTGGGAGAAATACATCTGTTAGTATGTCCCAGCCAGGTGTAAGTCACAACTGGTTGCCAGCGAAAAATTCAGGAAAGAAGAACTCTCCATGCAATGATTACTTTATAAGAATTTTTTCCAGGAAAATAAAATTTTCCTAACTAAAAAAAATATAAGCCGCTTTTGACCATAAAAATGTTATTTCAAAGAAGGAGGTGCGCCAGATTTGAAATTTTCAGCAATGTAGCTCAAAAATCCCTTTCCCAGGAAAAAATTCGTACAAGAACAGTTATTTAGAAGAACAGACCCTGTCGACTCCTCCTGATTCTTACCAGTATTSCAGGGTTTATCGGTGAATCCACCAAACAGGTTCCAACCAACACGGACAAGCGTCATTGTAGGGTTTTTCCCGTCACACTGAGRATGGAAMGTTGATCGGGTGTCCCATCCATCTTTAGAAGCGTGCCAACAACTCACCCAGTCCTTTGGACTTGTCTCATGAAACRTGGTGGCTATGTAGCCTGTCARTGTCTTTATCAAGAAACTCGGATTGTCATAATTAGACAGTATACCAGAGTTGTCTAAGGCTTTTGAAGAAAAAATTATCACACTTTCTTCATATTTTTTGGATTCTATAAATTTTATTAATTTTTGGACTTACCTTCGACTTCTTTTTTGGGATATCCTGAAATGAGAGATATAAACTCAATCATCGGTTCTGTATGTACAGAACAAAAGCGAAATAAGGAAAGGAGGAAAAATAGCACAAAACACAAGAAGCAACAAAATGGATTACTTTTTCAAAGTTTGAGCCAACATACCGAGAGCAATTTGGCACTGGCTTCCATTAAATCTTTCTTTACACGTGCAACGATAATCACGTGCATCGTTATATAACACACACTGGCCATCATTAAGGCAAGGCCCCTCCAGGCAAGGATTCTGGTAAAATTAAAAAATATCTCCATTAAACTTTTCTATCTTGGCACCAACTCACTACTCACTTTGGAGTAGCGCGTTTAGAAAAMCYCTCTAAATTTACTTCCTTTTTTGAGATATCTAAACTGAAGAWAAACACGAAAAAAATAAGAAAATACAAATGAAAAGTTAATCGTTTTCAAAATGAATACCTCGTGATAGCCTGCAGCGAAATCATAATAATATGAATTTMATCATTTCGGTWAACAYCCTTGACTTCAAATTGCAACTCAAAATTAACACGTCAATTGCATAAGATATTATATTCAGTGAAACTTCAGCAACGACGTCGTGGAAACAATCAGAGAACTGACAAACTATTTAAAAGATTGTGATGCAAAACTTCACGTGATATTTAAAAAAAGATATTAAAGAACGTTTCTTTTTTTTTGCATTTGTAAAAAAACTCAATTCATTTTCCGAAAGATACTTTTTCTAATTTTCCTTGTTATGTAATACATATGTAAAAATATCTTACGAATTAGTGTAAATAAACTGAAATTGAAATTGAATCTATTTCAGGGGGACCGAACTTTTTAAAAATCTGCTGTACAGCAAACTCGGTCATCATAACGCATCAGTATGTAAACCTGTCAAAGCGATGAATCAATATATATTATAAACCCCATTAACTTTCCCAACATGAAATAATGATCATTTTTTAAGCAATTGATTCAGTACTGGTTTGCTATCAATCATCTCTCTCTGTGCGTGTCTCTCTGAAACATTCAGTAACTTGTATTTTGCAATAGCTTTATTCTAGTTTGCATGAATCGATTTCTGGCAAACATTGCACTTTTTGTATTAAAGATTTCAATGGAACCATCTCTTGATATATTTTATGCTTTGTCACGTTCACGGGAACGTCAAAGTTGCAAGTTGTAGTCAGGAGGTACATACAGCCAGAAAAATAAGATCTTTAAGCAGTAAAGAATGGGTTGGTGCAGTTATCGTTTAAACACAAAGCCCACAGGGAATTTTGAGAACACGAACGAAGTCTGCCTAATATACAAATGCTTTATAAATTCTACTAACCTTTATCTGCATAAACGTCGAATTGATTTTCGGCACGAGATACTGTTCGTAGCCTGTTCCTGTCCAATTAAGCAACTCACAACGAAGACTCGTTTGGTCCACAGTGATGACATTCACTGACAAACATTCCGCCTTGTTTTGTACACACTTGAAACAACATTCCTTTTTGCTCTTGGTAGTTTCAGTTGATAAAACAGTTCCTGATTTCGAGAGGAAGTTTCCTTCAGCACTCTAAAGAAAGTCTCGAATGACTATTTCATCATTATTGTCAAAATTTAGCACAGATTGCGTGTTTTTAAAAGCAAAAAAGAAAACTGAAAAGAAAAAGAAGAACTGGCATGTCATATTGATAGTTTTCTGCAGTGCTAACAGTCTTGGTTGTGGTGATTATTATAACCTTATTCATTGCTACTGCAAGGTGTTTCCATAATTGAACGCTTACACCCGCAGTGAACTGACTGTGTTGAAGTGTATCGTTATATAACAACTCTCAAAGAKGACGTTTTTCTAATTTCTTTTTTTGTAATTAAGATTGTTCCCCTGGCAACAAAGCTGGGAGGGTAATAATGTCGGAAACACGTCATTAGAAAATGGATCGAATTCCGCCACRTTAGTGCGCGCACAAAATCCAAAACGTTATCGCGGTGTTCACTGGGAGAGAGCGGAGACATCTCACTCTTAAATGATAAAGATTCCCAACCTTGAATTTCGATATAATTATTTAACAAGTTGCAACAAGTTCCATATGAGATGAGTCCTACGAATTACTATTTGTCAAGCAAAGACAACAAGCTGACAACACTGTTCGGAGTCTCTGATTGTTTGATGCTTTGTTAGTTAAAACATAAAAAAAGGATAAACAAAGCATTCATCTTCTTAAACATTTATACAGGTTTTAATGATCATCGCGTAAGTCAGAGGCAATTAAAGTTTTTTCGTACTAATCTAAATACCGCCCAACCTGCTTATGATATTATAATGACACTASTAATAACAGAAAAACAGTGCTTTTTTCATTGCATATGAAAAATGCTGAACTTATTTCTCCTGAATGAAAACAACTTAAAACAACTTTGAAATATTATAACTCTCTTCCCCTTTAAGTCCACAATACGACCAAAATATACTCATCGTATCATATTTATATTTACAGTATATACAAGTCAGCTGGTATACAATGGTATTCTATGGGAGATTGCCCATGATACGCTGCGGGAGTGAACTACCTGACAAACAAAAACGAGATTACGAGATTTCAAATATAGAGTAGTTTGAAATATATATTTAGTCAAMTTCCCATGTTTGAAATAATTAGGCAGGTGAATAGAGAGACAGAGATTGGCATGAAGCCCATTTTTTTCTATACAATGTTTTAATTACACTTTTAGTTCTTACATGAAAAGTTTACAATCAACAACTTTTAGACAAATATTTATTTTTTTCAACAAGGTACATGATGATRAACCAACAAAGTTCAAGGACGGTTCATACGTCGAGCTATCGTCAAGCCGAACCAACTAGTCAAATTCTACGTGTCGACCACGTACATCGATCAAAAAAGAGTTGAAAGAATAAGAAAACGTCCGAAAACATGCCATTTTATCACYATTATTGTCGGAAGAAGGGAAACTTGTGCAATAAACTCGGCATGACGATATAGCTGAATGATAGAATCAGCGTCTCAAGATTTTTGCCGTGCAGCACGAAAGGCGCGCTACCGTACTACAGTCGCGCCGAACTTGATTTATTCATACGTCGATCTGATCATGTGCCAAATTYAAACTATCATTTAGAGCGGTATAATTACTGGGAGCGACGATAGCACGACGGATGTTTATGTACTTGTTAATAGTGCTATTTACACAATAGGTCTAGTATCAAGAGAACTGGTATCATAGCAGATACCTTACATATAGTACAACTAGAAACGATATCTAATCTATAAATACATTCAGGTTCATATTTGTTAAAGATGGATGTGATCTTCGCCCCAAGATACCGACGCCTTAGCTTCTTTTTCAGCTGCCAATTTTTTATCTGAAAACGAAATTGTTGTTTTACTTAGTTCTTTTTTAAGCGGCATTCCAGTTTTATGCTGATATTAAACATCATTAAAAACACGCTTAGAACGCATCAATTCCAATGAAGTATGGTTTATTTTATATTCTAAATGTGTTTTCATAGCATGATCGTAAAATGTATTACATACCTGGGCAAGCTTTTGCTTCAATCAATTCAACAACTTTTAGAAGCTGATTAAAGCCTGTTTTAAAAACATGGTCTTCGTCTGGATCACTTGCTATTGTATTCAGTTGCGTTCCATTGACTTTGTCTCCAATTCCCAAACTAAAGATTGTGATATTTTGGTCTTTTAGGGCTGTCGATGGAGTGGCTAGGTCGTCCCCATTTTCAGACTCGCCATCAGTTAGAACTATGAGTATTCGAGGGACATTTGGTCTTGCTTGAACAGCGCCAAACAGTTTGTYCTTTACTAAATCCAGCCCCCGTCCAATGAAGGTTCCTCCTGTTAGCTTTTTCATATCATCGATAGCCTTGTTTACTAATTCTGTACTGTTGTACTTGTCCAAGCCAAAAACAAGTTCTGCAACGTTAGCAAACTGAGCGGCACCAACATGTGAACCATCGCTGGAAACTTCATAATGTGCAACCATGTCTTTAATGAATTGTCGACAKAGATTGAAGTTCGAAGTGGAGATAGAACCGGAGCCATCAATGAGAAATGCAATATCAASAGTGGTTTTACATGGTATGATTGGTGGTTGAGTAGCTACAATGTATAAAATACAATACAATTAATGTACTTTAATGGAAATCACCTGTAAATACTGTCAAACAATTTTCCTGGAAATATGAATCTCAAGAATTTTCCCAGGACAAGACATTTGTAAAAAAAAAACGTTTTTGAAAACAAAATAGAAAACATAGCATAACTGGGACATATCTTTGTATCATATTCATAGAGAATCAACTCATGGAAATGTAGCTTCATCGACCCTGATTACAGCAGAAACCGTTGCATCGCGACTTCGATGTTCAAAGAAAATAGTTGGGATTTAGGTTTTTCTGCGACTTGGGGGCGGAGCTTGATACCAATCAGCCAATGATTGAACGAGTTTTCGAAAAGCTCCGCCCCTCAGATTGACAGAGAGAACAAAATCCAGACAAACTTCAAAACAAAGAGGTCGCGATGCAACGATTTCCGCTGTAATTAATTGAGTGCGTATCTTGCAAACATGAATACGAGAGTCAAGGCCAACTTACGTGGTTGTGTCGGTCCAACTGTAAAGTCTGCAAAATAGAATAATAGTCGTTCAATAAGCTACAATTAGTCGGACAATTAAGCTAAATTTTATACTCTTTGTTTAATTTTTGTTATAGGCCATTGCTGTTGAGGGAAGAAAAACTGAAAGTCCGCCCTCGTCAGTGCACTTTCCAATGCATTGTCTGCATCGTCTCACTGTCACTAAAAGTCCYGAAAGTAGGTGTTCTAATCCGGGCTCAAAAATTCCCAGTCAAAATAATGTCAATTTTAAGGTATGTAATAAAAGATAGTGATTAACTATATTTTTGACTAAAGCTGTATATAGTTTTCATTTTTACAAATTGTCATCTTGGCACAGCGAGTCCCAGTCCTAGTGCATAAACCAGATTTCCTAAAAGTCAAAGGGGCAGCAAATAACAGTTCACAATTTGTCTCATATAGTCATTCTCGTATTTTTTCCAGGGTATAATCTTATCACTTTAGTGATTATACATTTTACCTGCGCAAACTTTGGCTTTGACATTTTTAGCGACTGTGCCGAGATCACTATATGAACCTGCGTTGAACACATTTTCAGAACTCGATGCTATTCCTTCCAGCTGACCAACATTGACAGACATACCAATTCCAACAGTATAGATACTTAATTGGTAACCTTTGACTTCTTCGACATTAAGATCATTGTCTTTTCCGTCAGTAACAAGGATTACAACAGAGGGATGTTCACGACCTGTTGTATCGAAGATATCCCTCTTAGCCCCATATATCGCGTCCTCGATCTTGTTGCCATCGGTTTCAAATTTTGAATACTGTATTTGATCAATGGCATTTTCAACGTCAACGATATTATAGTATTTTTTGAGGTTGAATATCACATGATGCTCCATAGAAAATACCAATAAACCAATATGCGTGTCAGACTGAGAAACCTTGAATTCTCGTGCAACTGTTTTAGCAAATTTCTTTACATGTTGGAAATGTTCTTCGGAACTTGTTAGATCGAGAACGAACACCAAATCGATGGTAGCTTGACAAGGTATTGGTTCTGAAAGCAATGCATAGCAACAAGTTAATAAACATATTGTTGCTTGGAATCGCTTCACAACGSTATAGTTGACAACTCAGAAAACAAGAGAAAATACCTGGTATATATATCAGGTCAAATATGCATACATAACAAACAATATTCTCCATACCTTTGACAATAAGATTGACTTTTTCAGTCAATGTATCACCAGTAACCAAGTTCAAAGTACATCCATACATACCAGAATCGGATACCTTAACATTCGATATAACCAAGTTTGCACTCGAGTATTTGCTTATTCGTTCTCGCAAAGCCACCGGACAGGTAGGCGAGACATCCCAAGCCCAGTTTTTACTCTTATCTTCAGCCGCTAATTGTTTGATCTCGGTTGGTGAGTAGTACAAATCCCATGTCGGTGAATATTGCTTGAATGCTTGATTTCTATCGCCATTGATGATGGTATATTCCCATTGTAAACTAACCGATTGTCCTGCTGTGACACTGACTTCTGCTGGAGGTACTTTAGTGAACTTCACCTCTAAAACGGGATGATAAAAGACCAGTAATGAATAAAGTATTCATTGATCAGATTTAGAGAAGTAGAAGTAGAAGATGACGGGCACTCAAGCAGAGTATCTCTACCAGAGGTTACAACATCCATGAACCTTTGCGCGATCTTCTCAAATCATTAAAAATCGCCATTTTTGATTTTAAAGCAATCAGAAAGCACCTTTCAGACCTTTAGCTACCTTTCACCAAGAGAACATTTGTAAAACAAAAGAAACAATCCAAAGAACATAGAAATTTGTTAATTTTTTATTAAATTTTCCTATAATTGATGATGCTGCACTTACCAATTGAAATCATCTCTGCAAAAATAAAACAGTTATAAAGAGTTTAGTACATCAGTGATTATTAGAAGCGATACGTTTCAAGAATTCCACGCAGCCCTACGTACCTTGCACTATCAGTTGTATCCTGGAAACTACCGGTTCGCCAGACATCATAATCAATTTGCATGTGTAGAAACCACTGTCAGCCTGTGTTACCTTGGAGATAACAAGCGTTGCTAAGGATTCTTTTTTAAGCCTCGCTCGAAGTGATTCAGGGCAAGTACCAGAGACACTCCAAGCCCAGTTATTGGTTTTATTCTCCGAAGCAATCTCGACATCYTGTCCTTGTTGGTACAGCGACCATGTTGGGGAGTATGCCGAAAATGCGTTTTCACGACCGCCGTCAACTTTGTAAACCCACTCAAGTCGAGCGTCGTGTCCAGCGGTTACATAGACAACGGATTCTGGTGTCTTGGTAAACTTTGCATCTAAAATGATTAAACCRATGACATGAAATGTTTGCACTCTTTAATGAAACTGGAATGATTCATGACTGTTGTTTCAATTAATCCAGCATGGCGTCGAAGGTTTGTAATATTTATATATCAAGGGTATCCTCGTGGATATTGTTATAAATCAACCCCGCAAAAAAGACAGCAAGCGGTGACCAATTTAGTTATTCTTACCATATGCAATTAGTTTKACTTTTGATGTAATTGGTRCCCCATCCGCCACGTTTAAGCTACAACCATATGTAGCACTATCTGTCAACGCTATGCTGGAAATGACTAAAGTCGCCTGATCTTCTTTGCTTATCCTYCCTTTGTAATTCTCAGGACACTCGGATGACTCGCTCCATGACCAGTTATTTTGTTTATCTTCTGACGCCAGCTCTTTAGATGTTCCGTCCTCATTATATACATACCATATTGGAGAGTATTGTTTGAACGTGTTTATCTTATCTGTCACTTCATATTTCCATACCAACTTTCCTGTCATACCAACACGAACATAGATGGTGTTCTCGGGTTTGATGGTAAAGTACGCTACAAATATTTCAAAGCAATTGTACGTAAAGTGTCCCGAAAAAGGTAAAAATAGTTCTGTGCAAGATATGTAAGTCAAAGAAGTAAGAGGTATGACTACTTAAAGTTTTTACATTGCAATACTATTTTGTYATCAGTTGATTCTAGCTTTTCCGGTCACGTATGACAAACATAATTCTACACTGAAAAAAGCAACTGAAGACTATGTATGATATCTGCTTTGRAGTAAATGCACTACATGTAAATCGCCTTTAAGTGAAACAACTGTTGATAGCTTCAATTCTGACATTAAAGTAAGAGCTTTCTTACCTTTCTCCTTCTCTGGATCGACATATACCGCTACAGCCCAATAATAAAACAGACATTAGTTGTATGACATGGCTTAGATACATGTGAAGCATATGAGAAAAGGAGATAAGACGCCTCTAAAATCTATGCTTGGTGAAGCKGGAAGTTTCGAGCGATATCGAAAGTACTGCGTATATTTGCCCATCGACGCATGGATGAYCCGTCCCTTTAAAGGCACGGTTACCTTTTTGAAAAAGTCGCACTGAGGTAACTGCATTGTAGATAAAGAGACATATAAACTCATGAATTGAAATCCGGAAATATAAATTGAATAAAATACCTTGGCAAGCCTTCTCTTTGATAAGTTGAACCACTTGGTCAAGCTCATTAAAGTCTGCAGTGAAAATGTAGCTACTGCCGGATGCTATGAGCTTGAGTTCGTCTAAATTGTAATTATTGCCAATCCCCAACGTGATGATATGTATGCCTTCATCCTTTATTTTCTTAGCATTGGGACCAATACTATTTGGATCACCATACGTTGAATAACCATCGGTCATAAAGATTAAAATCCGTTCCTTCTCTGGGCGTTGACTTGATAGAAATAGGTCTGTGTATGCCTTRTCTAAAGCCCCCGCAATATTTGTATATCTCTTTGGTTGAATTATATTATCCACAGCGGTTTCGATRCTTGGAATATCGTAGTATTGTTTAAAATTGAACACAAGTGATGCACTCGTGGAAAAGAGTACCACTCCAATGTGTGAGTCCGTCTGTGAGACATTGAATTGYTTAGTCATGTTTTTAACGAAGTCTTTGCACTTGGTGAAATTGCCAGCCGAGATTGATCCTGAACCATCAAGTACAAAACCAAGATCCACAACTATCTCGCAAGCTGTTTTGAAATGAAATAAGTCAGTCAATAGTCTCCTTCACGGTTCCCTGCGTCATCTTGAAAGGTAGCCGTGCCTTTGCATCGAAGCGAGACAACCGTTGAGCGTGCAATGGTAGATACCTCTTGAATAATTGTCTGTAGGTGTGAAGAACGTTTCTATCATTGCACGCTCAACGATCGTCTCCCTTCGATGCTAACACTACCTTTCAAGATGGCGWAGGGAACCGTGAAGAAGACAATTCTSAAGAAAACGAACAGTAACGAAAGAAAAGACTTTGTGCACAAGGTACTCACGTTTAGGAGGCTTTGGCTTTAGAGAAGGAGCTACAAAGAAATCACAGGAATTTTTTTATAAGTAAAGGAATAGTGGGCTGGTAGGATTTTGTAACACTATCTTAGATCGCAAACTGAATAAACTGAAAATCCCGGGCATCTCKCAAAACCTATTCGTTGGAACCTCTGCCTTTGGATATTTTTATGGAATCATTTCTATGAATGTTGATGCAGTCCGCGAAAAGGAGAAGCTCTATTAATTAGTTCATCAGGCCAATCTCATAATATATAATTAACTATGCCTTACGTCCATAGACATATATCGTTTCAGGATTTCCAATACATTCATCGGGTGTGCTGTCTTTGCATGGTTTCTTCTTCCCATTRTAACACTTTGTACTTCCACCATACTCTTCGTAAAARTTCGAGTTGCCTATTGCCAGTGATGAGGAGTAGCATGTTCCTGAAGAAAAATTGTTCTTGTATTAAGTATTTTCATATTGATTCATGATAAATCTCTTTTTTTCTTGTTATTGCAACTGCCCGCTTCGAAACATACCGAGACCGCAAGGTGGCCGTGAGGCTACGTTTTCAGAGTAGAAATCAATCCGGTGGTCCAAAAGTTGTTTTACCATTTATARAATATTTAAGTTTAAGGTCCGTTTTTTATAATTCGCCCAGATTCTACTGTCTCCGAATCTCCTAGTCAAATATTGGGGTTAGGGTTAAGACAATGTTAAGGTTAGGCTACGTTGGTYGGTTGGTCCGTTTGTTAAACTATTTACTAGCTATTGTAGTATTTGTACTAGTAAATCTTTGAAGTTCCAACAAGTGATAGAGACCAGGACACTTATTTAACAAGTTTTCTTCTACGAGGCTATTATAGCAAAATTACAAAGATGCGCAAAAACGCTAGTAGATAAACAMTACAAGATATCACTTAAAATTTTACTAAAATTACATTGATAACAACCGAACTCGAACGAAATAGTCATACCACTGTCTGTGACACCAAACACTTGATAGTTCATCTTCTCTGCTGATTTAGCGCATTCACATACAAAGTCTTTGAGCCAAACGGCAAAGTTATCGCTATTAGGTACAGATTTCAAAATAACTACRGGCATAATTGGWTCTGAGCGCTTCTCATTGTAGCATCCCAGCTTGGTGTAGTTAGCACTGCAAATTACTGAAAAACACAGCAACAAATAATCAAACATATATAAATTCATTACGTTTTGGTGTATAGGATTAAGGCCTAGCTAGTGCCCATATAATCATCCCAATCGCCCCCTGCATGTTGTTAAATCCATTGAGGAAACTAGAACAGTTCAAACAGGGCTATTGAGAGGAACAGAC